ATCTTTACTCAGTCTGTCTCTGCCCTGTGTGTGTGCTGCAAAGACCAAGTGCCAGCTGCTGGTGACACCTGCACGGGTGGCACTTGGTACCACGAACTGGAGCTGTGGGAGCCCTGTGGAGTCAGCCAGGGGAGGGAGTGACAGTCGGATGTGCCATCACTCTCTGGATCAAATCACAGATTTGAGCTTGGAACACCAGTTATCAGGAAGACTGGTGTACAGCTGACCCAGATCAGTGGCTCAGTTCTGATCAGGGCTGCAGGAGTCCCTGGCCTGGCGTGCCATCTGCTGGGGCAAGTGCAAAGGTCTCTCCAGTGCTGGTGCCTGGAGCTGGCAGGATCCTCGGTCATCAGCCACTGGGGAGAGAACAGTGTGTGTTCTGAAGAACAGCTGCTGGAAGGGAGGCAAGTGAGGAGCTGAGCAGCTGAAGCAGGACTGCAGTGCCTGGGGCCAGTGGGGAAAGGTGAGTGTCTGCATCTTTGCCAACCCTGCTGTGCATGTAATTCGTTAGCAACACTTCATGCTGGAATAGCAAGGGGGAGGTCCTGGGTCCAGACCAAGGTATGAGGTGGGTGGGGGCTGGTGCTGGAAGTCCCAGGGGATGTGTGAATGTGGACTGTGGAACAAAAGTGCTACAGGTTTACTAGCAAGCATCAGGCTTATCAAACTGATGAGCAGGGGGATCCCTGAGACTGGTAGAAGGGCTTGGAGCCAGGCACAGGTGCATGCTGGTACCCAAGGGATCCGTGAATGTGTGTGTACTTGTGAACCTGGAAAATGCAGTGTGCGCTGGCAGGAGTGACTTTGTGTCTCTGCCAGACAACGAGCAGGAGGGGACACGGCTGGCTTGTGTTTATGTGAGTGCTTTAAGTGTGTGCTGTCAGAATCCTGCCTGTGTCTGTGCTCCAGGATGGACAATCAGCTTTGCTACTGGTTGAACCTGCAAATGGGAAAGTGGCAGCTGCATCCCTCAGCTTGAGAAACTCCAGATCCCCCAGGCTGTGCTCCAGCAGTGGAGCAGGAGAGGTGCTGGGGCTGCTAGAGGAGACAGCCACCCTTTACATTCCTTCACACTCCTAACTAACAGTTAATCAGCATCCCAGCTCAGAAACCTGGCAGGGGAAAGAGTTTCTAACTCCAAGAGCAGCCTAGACAACTGCAACCATGGAAATCCAGAAGATCCCGACTGATTCTCCCCCTTTTGCCGAGAAGCCCCGAGACACGCTGCTCCCCAGCACCTCACCCCTCCCGAAGGCTGGCACCCCCCCTGCCCAGCCACCCTCCTCAGCGGCCCCGAGCAGGAGCAGCCCCCACCTGCATCGTGAGCCCCCAGCGCTCGCAGCATCTCGCCGGCGCCGCGGCGGACGCGCCGCTCCCTGTGGCACAGCATGGCCGTCAGCAGCTCCAGGGCTCCCGCCTCCCTGAAGGCGCCCGCCAGGGAGCCGATGCTGGCGTAGGCGCCCAGCACGTGCACCGTGCTCAGGACGGAGCACTCGGGGCTCCCGGCCTCGGCCACCTGGCGCCCGGCTCGCCGCACCAGGCTCCTCACGTCGGCCTCCATCTCCAGCAGCGAGGCCTCGTCCAGCGGCGCCGCGGCCGCCGCGACTTTGTCCGCGGCCGACGGCCTCGCGCGGGCCAGCAGCACCGGGCAGCTGGCGCGGACCTCTTCCGCAGACATCCACAGGGAGATGCTCTCGGCCTTGCTGTCTCCGGAGGAGGCACCGCCGCCGCCTCCCGCCGCTCTCTCTTCCGAGCTGACCACGCTCCACCGCACCAGGTATTCCGGCCGCTCGTCGTGGCCGCGCCGCTGCCGCAGCAGCTGCTCTGGGTGCGCCTGCAGCTTGGGGCCCAGCTGCACCAGCAGCGTGCCAGCGTGCTGCTCCTTCACCATGGCAGCAGCTGCGTCTGCAGGGACAGAGGGGAAGCAGGAGCTGGAGAGGTGGCTGAGGCATGCTGTGGCTAGAGATCCGTGTTCCCGTGTGTCACAGTGCTGGTGATATGGCAATGCAGCCATTAAAATGTGCTTTTGTACCGGCTGTACTCAAGGACAGTGCTGTACAACCATAACACAGCAAGTATGAGATACGGCTCACTTTCTCCTTGGAAAGCCACATCTATGGAGTTACAAGATAACAGGGCAAAACACAGTGATTTCTGGCCTGCCATACAGACTGTGGGCACGGCAGGAATATGGACAGCAGTGCCCAGGAAGGGCAGCTTTCCCCAGGAAGCTCAGCTGTAACACCTGGCTGTGTGCTGACGGAGCGAGGTACCCGAGCCAGGCAGAGCCCACACGCCAGTGCAGGTCTGCACTGGAGGGCTCCGTGCACATCACCGAGCCGGGACCGGCACACGGCGAGGGACAGGCCCGTGCCCGGGGCACACATGCTAAATGCGGGATGCACGGCATTGCCGTCCCCGTGGAGAGGGCTCGTACGGGCCGGCCGCACCAGCGGCACCATCAAAGCTCCTTCCAGGCGCGGGCAAAGCGAGAACTCGCCGGGCACCGAGCACCGGACCCGGCGCGGTTCGGCTGCCGCACCTCACGCCCGGCGGGCCGGAGGCCGCGACCGAGACCTCCCCTAAACGGCCCGGGCCCGTCCCGGCTCGGCTCCGCTCGGGGCGCTCGCCGGCCGCTCCCGGCCGTGCCCGGCCCGCCGCCCTCCCTCCGCCGCGGGGCCGCGCCGGGGCCGCCGCGTTACCTCCGGCACCGCTCCCGCGCCGCTCCGGCCGCGGGCGCCTGCGCAGAGCCCGCCCGACGGCGGCCGCGAGGGCCGGGCCTGGGCGGGCGCGGCGGGACCGACCGGGGCAGCGCCGGGGACTGGATAAGGCACAGGGAGCACAGAGCGGCACTTGGGGCGCTGAGGGACGGGGCAGGGTGGGACGGGGAAGGCGGCGAGGGAAGGAGGCAGCAGAGGGCCGGGGAGCAGTGAGGCGCTGCCGGGGCTGGGAGGAGCTGGTGTCCGTGATTGGCAGCTTCCCAGTCACCGTGGCTGGATGCCACCTTCCCGTCCGCTTGTCTTCATTCCTCCACAAGCTGAGGGTGAGAGAAGAGCTGGGGTGTCCTACAGCTAGGTTTGACACGATTGTGCCAATTGACCACACCAGGTCACCCACCAACTTCAAACTTTAGCCAAGGCAGTTCACAGCCCCACACTCATTTCTTGCACCAACCCCACTCCTGCTAGACACTGAACACAGCAGAACTTGACCCGTCTGAAAGTGAGGAAAGGCCCTGTCCATAAAAGACATCAGTAATGCTACAGCGGTAGCATGAAAAACGCTTTATTTGCCCCGGGCATCACTCTACTGCTTTGACCCGTGGCAGGTTGACGTAGCTTTTCATGGGAGGGAGAGGTTTGATCTTGCGGCCGGCCCAGCCACCCTTGCGGTGCCACAAGCCCGTGTGCGGGCGCTTGCCCAGCCAGCGGTTCCGGCCCGCCTTCCCAATCACCCGCTTGTTGTGATCCACGTTGGACACGCGGCCCACCGTGGCCACGCAGGTCTCCAGCACCTGGGGGACAGAAAAGCGCTGCAGCCCTCCCTGGGGGCACACGGTTGTGTGCCCAGGCAGTGGAGCCAGGGACAGCACAGCTCCTTTACCTGCATGTGCCTTTTGGACGGCAGCTGCACGATGGCTGTCCCGTTCACCTTCCGCAGCAGCACCCCACAAGTACCTGCAGAAGGCAAGAGAGGAGGCAGCTGCATTGAGCAGCAGGACAAAGTATCCCATCCTGTGACAAGCACATCCCCACGCTGGTAACTCCCCAATGTACTGTTGTACTAAATGTGGGACTCCTCGCAGAAGACAGAGCCTTGAGGAATTAACAGGGCAGAGCTGCCCCTGTTTTTCTGGAGGGATGTGTTGCACTCTAACATGAGAAGAGGATGGCAACTCCCTGTCACTGGCCACCCAGAGCAGTGTCCCCCTGTCCTCCTCTCCACCTGTGCTCAGCCAAATCCCTACCAAGAGTGGGTTCCCTGTGTGGGGACATACCAGCTGCCCGGATGTACTGTGCTCCCTTCCCAGGGTGGCTCTCCAGGTTGCAGATCAGTGTGCCTACAGGCAGAGCTCCCAGTGGGTATGCGTCCCCTTCACTGGCTGACACTGGAAGACAGAAGCTGCCAAGTTGGGCAAGGAGCAGCCGACGAGCCCTCGACAAGACCGGCACAGCCGCCCCTGGCCCTGGCGTGCACCTGCCATCCTGCTAATGTGAGGCGAGTTCGTGATGGTGCTCCCTGGCTGCATGTTCTCCGTGGCAATGATCCAGCGCTTGCGGTTGCCGCCGGCCACCAGGGCGATGTCAGCCGACCTGCACGGAGAACCCGCGGCGGCTGAGCGGGAGGCCACGGCCGGCGCGACGGCCCGGGCCCGGGGCCGAGCCCGCACCCCGCACTCGCCTGCAAGGGTCGTATCGGACGCTGATGACCTTCTCGGTGAAGGGCTCCGCCGGGGCGCCCTCCTCGTAGCGCAGGCGCTGGAAGTCGATCATGCGGTAGCGCCGCTTGTGTCCCCCGCCGATTCCCCGCACGCGGACGCGGCCTGCGGGACACGGGAGCGGCTGCAGGCGGGACCCCCCGCGCCCAGCCGGCCCCGGCAGCCCGCCTGCGCCCGCCTTCCCGCCCGCCCACCTGTGTGGTCGCGGCCGCCCGTCTTCTTCATGCCCACGGGCCGCACGGTGTACTTGGTCCGGCACTTCCACAGCGGGTCGGTGGTGCAGCGCGGCGCCGAGCCGCTCAGCCCGCGGCAGGCGGCAGGCGCCGACAGCGGCCCCGGCAGCCAGGGCTGGGGGCCGGGCGGCAGCGCCGGGGGCCGGGCCCGGCGGGGCCCCGCCGACAGCAGGAGAGCACCGAAAGCGCGGCAGAGCCCCAGCGCCGCCATGGCCGCGGGAAGGCGCCGCCGGACGGGGCGGGGCCGCCGCGGGCCCGAGCTGGGGCTGCCGGCAGGTGGCGCGCTCCCGCCGGCAGGGCCGAGGCGGCGGCCATCTTTGATTTAAAGGGGCTGCGCCGCTGAGAGGGCGGGTGGTGCCGGCCGCGGGTCTCGCCCCGCCCCCGCCGGGACCGGGACAGCGACCGGGATCGCCATCGAGGTCTTGCGCCCAGCAGGTTGGACTGGCGGGGTTACGGGGGCTCGGTCACTCCCCTCGGCGGCCCTGGCGTGGGGAGGACACGCGGAGCCCGGCGGCGCAGGCCGGAGCGGGGGCGGCCTTCCCGGGGCGACGCTCCCCGCCAGCCGGGGGGGGCGGTGGGACCCTCGCGGGGCGCTGGGGAGGCCCCTGAGCTGGGGCTGGGGCTGGGCTGAGGCTGGCGTGGCTCGGGGACCGTCCCAGCGAGCCCCGGCCGTTGGGGCAGCGGAGCGAGCGGGGGCGAGGGCAGCGTTGGGGCCGTGCCTGCCGTAACGCTGTGGGTCGGCGCTAAGGGCGCTGCCGGCTCTGCGGACTTTGGAGCCGGCGAGGCGCGCCCTGCGAGATCAACCCCTTCAGCACCGGGGGAGCCGTGCCGTGCCCGCTGTGCTCGGGCAGCTCCCGGTACGCAGGCTCGGTGCGCCCGGCCTCCCCGCGGGCAGGGCCGAGTGCCACGCCGGGACGGCCGGCGGAGGCCGGGAGCCCCGAGGGAAGAGCGGAGTGTGTGCATGGCAACTGTGGGTCAGCCCGAAAACCCGGCCGTGGTTGTTTCCAGGGTGCTGTGGGCACAGACTGCGGGATTCACTGCTCTATAATTAGTCTGTGTCTTCATTGCCGGGAATGGCTTTCAGTGTAACACAAATAATGTATGTTTGCGCTTCTGCTGTGTAACTTATGTGACATGTAAGCGTGCCATAGCTGTATGTACCCAGAGAGCCAGCCAGATTTGCCCTCCAGAGCTAGGGAATGGAGGACAACAAGGTGCTTTAGGAAAGAAGTATGTGTTGTGAGATGAGGCAAGAGAGAACCTGTGTGTCAACAGCGCTAGGCTGGGCTATGTTTCTCCTGGGACACCTGAAGCCCTTTCCCTTCTGGGGGAATCCGTGGGGAAGGACAGGAGGACCAGTGCAGTCCTGGTTCAGGCAGGTGTAGGTAGCTGGGGACATGGTGGGGAGCACCATGACACTTGTGTGTGTTACCGTGCATGGGATGGCTGTAGCAACAACCCAAGCTGGATCCTGTGCCTTTTGAGAAGAGCAGCCAGAGACTGAACAAGTGCTTCCCAGCAGTACCCGGCCCAGCCCCACACTGCGGGCTCCAGCCTTCCCCGATCTCCTGGATGTGGCCATTGCTGTGGGCACGGCGATAGCAGCTGGAGGGCTCTCTGCAGCTACCCCAGCTTGGCTTTGGGGGCTGGCGTGGGGTCAGCAGCGGGGACGCGGGCGAGGGTGGTACCCAACAGGATGTAAAACCTTCTGCCACAGGATGGACGGTGGGATGGAGCAGGGCTTTGGCGGGCTGAGCAGGAGCCCTGTGATGCCCGGTGCTGCTCGGGCAGCGGGGCTCGGCCCTGCTCCTGGGCTCTCCCGTGGATCCCCGAGGAGGGAGCCGTGGGCTTGGCGTGCGTGGCGCTCGCTGCGCTCCCCGGAGAGCGTCCGAGCGTCCTGTTCGCGGAGCGTGTCCGCATCGCTCCCCTCCCCCTGCCGCAGTGTGGTTGGCTGCCGAGCGCCGGTGCCGCGCCGCCGCTCGCTCCCGGGGCGCACGGAGCCGCGCAGCGCCGCGGCCGCCGCTCCTCCGCCGCCTCCGCGAGCACCGGCGCTGGACAAGCCGCTGCAGGCAGCCAGGTACCGCTCCTGTGCGCCGCGGGGCGGGGGACATTCCCGTGCGGTGACTGAGACGGGCAGGGTGCCCGGCCGTCCTTGAACAAAGGACCGCTTTGATGCGCAGTTTCGGGCAGAGCTGGTGAAAAGTTTTTTTTTTTTTTGCCTTGTGAAGGTTTTACGTAGCCAGGTGGGCGCGGGATTTCTCTGTGGTGGTTCTGAGGGGTGAAGGGGTTTCTCTGGCTGGTTTGTTTCAAGGATACGCAGCGGGCGTGCCTCCTGCTGCCAGACAAAGCCGGAGAAACGATGACGGAGGCAGGTCATACAGCAGTAGCTCTCAAAGGGCCTTGTTTCGCCCCAAACCGTCTTTTCATTAATTAACTGCTTCCTAAGCCTTTTCGAAGTGGAGGTGCACCCTACGGAAGGTGGTGGGCTGGGGGAATCGCGGCTGAGCTTGTGTGAAGGAGACGATGCGCCTGGGAGGAGGTGTCTGAAGAAGAGCTGGGGGATGGTGCTGCGGTAGAATGCTCTGGCCAGGCAGCCGGGAGAAATCTGCACAATGGTGGGAGGCAGCAGCACATTACCGGGAGCAGCAGGCTTCCCTGCGCCTTGCATAGCTGGCATCTGGCGCTCTGCTGCAGTTCCGTGCTCGGCTCTCCTCTGGTGCCCTTGGTCTCCTCTCTGCCGTGCCACCTTGGAGATGTGGAAAACACCCAGCCCTGCTTGTGCCTCTGGGGAAAGAGGGTGGTGTTCAGGTCAAAGATCTGGCCAGCTCAGACACAGGGTAAATAAACATGGCTGTGCTTTGCTGTAATTGGCAGAAGGAGCAGGAAGCATGTGTTCTCTCATCTGCTGTTTTGGGGGAATGTCCAGGTTGAAACAACAGTATTAACCCCAAATACCAAAAGGGCTCTTGGGGCACAAAGGACACGGGCAAGATACTGACCTTGGCAGAGTTGCTGGGTAAATGCTTAATTTGCTAGGAAAGAGCCACGTAGCTCCTCAAAGAGCAAAGAGCTTGAGCCAGAGATAGAGCAGATCCTCCGTTTGTTTTGCAGGTAGAGGTTTGTCCCTGTGACTTTGCCTGCCTTGCTGTGGTGTACAAAAGCTGCTTGCTTCTGAAAAAAGTAGCGCAGTCTTGCAGCCTGCAGTCAGCTGCAGGTCTTTGCAGGTGCCCCAGGTACAGCATGGAGGGAGTGTGGGCACAGCAGAGCCCCCCAGGGCACACAGAGTGGCTCCAGAGCTCCTGCTGGTCCCATCTGCATCCTGGTTATCTCCTGTACCCAGCTCAGGCACATCCAGTGCAGAGCCCTCACATTAGACAGATGCCTGCAAAGGCACTGGCTCCTGGGAATTACTCTGCCTGCTTTAATACTGCTTCATGCTGTCAGGGCAAGGTAATGGCTCTGGCTCTGTTTTTTATAGTGCAAGACTCCCAATCAGATTCTGAAGCTGGGGAGAGATGCTTGCCCTGGCTCTGTTCCAGCTGCTTAGCTCTTGTCTCTCCACTAGCCTGGAAATGTGTTTTAATGGTGTTTCGCTGTAGTCCCGGGCGCAGCAGATGCAGAGTGGATTTGGTGCGCTGCTGCAGACACGAACAAGTTTAAAAACAAGGTTTTATCAGCTGATCTGGAGGTGCCAGCATAAGCTTGCTGGTGGGAGTGGTGATGACTGCTGTTCTCATTCCAATGGCCTGCTGGAAGGGGCAGGTTTCCCCAGCCAGCTGGGGCTGTAAAAAATATGATGTACAACCAGAGCAAAATAGTTATGGCAAAAATTTCTGCTTTTTTTTTTTTTTTTGGTTGGTTGGTTGGTTGGTTTTGCTGTTGTTGTTGGGGTTTTTAAACCCTTGTTGATTTCCAATATCTGTATTTTTTGGTAGTAACAAATGGAGTGAAACCTTTCTGGTCCTGAAAGGAATGAATGATCCGATACAAAGCCAACCAGACTACCTGTTCTGTCTTCCTCAGAGTACATATCCATTCTGGAATTCAATGATGCTTTGATAATACAGGAATTGCTTGCTGTGGTCAATCAGAACAAACACCAGTACCCTTTGCCTTGTCCATTTCCAGCTGTGGGCTGGGAGGTGAGAAGGGTATGAGAAGCTCCCTTGTTCTTTCTGTAGTGGAGTCACTGCAGCCAAGTCCTTGTAAAGGCACCTTATCACCACCTTGCCCTCTGTGTTTCATTAGAGATTGTGGGTGGCAGGGAGCTGAAGCTTCTGGGACAGAGAGGAGTGTTGGGAGGCTCCCTTCAGGCTCTTTCCCTTCGGCTCCTGTCTCCTTGGGACTTGAGCTGCAGATCCAGTTCCTCAGTCCTCATCCCCTGGGCCTCTTGCAGCCTGCTGGTTAGCACAGACATTCCCAGCACAAGCCTTCCAGTATCTAGGAAAAAACCCCAGAGCTGGCTTGTGTCAGCTGCTGGAAGAAGCAATCCTGGCCCTGATCCCTGGACAGACAGGGATCAGGGCATATCCCCAGCACAGTCACCTTGTACTGTGTTATACCTGACTGAGGACTGGGGAAACTGGTTGGGTGAAGTCTTTCTGGGCTTGGAGACCGACTTCAAAGCCATGTGAGGAGATGTCTGGGTGCCAAGGAGAGCCCTGGTTTTGGGGCATAGGAGAATGTGAGTAAGACCACTTCTTGCCTTCACTACCTGCTGTGTTGTTGCGAGTGGATTGCTTTGGGAATCCAAAAATCCCTGTGGGACACTGCTGGAAGGAAGCAGGCACTGCATTCCCTTTCTCTGGGCCTTGGGTCAGTTTCTAGTGCTGTGGTGCCTCGCTCCTTTGTCCTGAAGAGGAGTTCACTGAAGGCAAATGCACTGAGTTTATCTCAGGAATTCAGATGAAGAATTTTTTTTCCTTACTTTTTTTTTTTTTTCTCCCACAAGAGGATGGTTAAGTTGTGATGCAGGGCTCTGAAGAGTTTGTGGGATCTCTGTTTTGGGAAGTGGTCTTTTAGTTAGTTTGTGGGATCTCTGTTTTGGGAGGTGATCCTTTAGTTAGACACAGATACCTGCTTTGGGTGAGGGAATGGACCAAAGACCTCTAAGCATTCATTCCAGTTAATACTCTTCAAGTAATACTCAAGCCAGACTCTTACTGAGGGAAAAGTTACAGCACAAGAGTCCCTCTGTAGTGCTTGAAGTCATCAGTGTATTGGTTTAACTTTAGGCTGTCTGCAGGGCAGGAAAGCTCTGAGCTGGAACCTGGCATTGGGAAAGAACTTTGTATGGAAGATGGGACTCTAGGTATCCCCTTTTTTTGGCAGTAGGATGTAGAAATTTATGAGACCACTGGTGGCAGAGAATATTATGGACATTAGAATTGAAGTGACATCTTTTGACTTTACAATTGCAGCTCAGAGGTATGGTG